TTTTCGCTGAGATCTGCCTTGGTTTTATTCAACATTTCTATGTCATTTCCAGCGAGCAATATATCATCCACATATAAGGATAATATAGTAAACTTGCTCCCACTTTTCAAGACATATACACAATTATCTAATTTATTTTGAATAAAACCAAGTTTAGTAACTGCATCATGAAATTTGAGATACCATTGTCTAGAAGACTGTTTTAAACCATATAGAGATTTCATTAATTTGTAAACTTTATGTTCCTGTTCTTTCACCTGAAAACCTTCAGGTTGTTGCATATATATTGCTTCCTTCAACTCTCCGTTAAGGAATGCAGTTTTAACATCCATTTGGAATAACTCCAAATCAAGATATGCAACAATAGCCAAAATAATTCTAATGGATGCAAATTTAGCTACAGGAGAATACGTCTCCTGAAAATCTATTCCTGCCTTCTGGTTATAACCTTTGGCAACTAACCGTGCTTTGAATTTATCAATAGATCCATCAACACGATATTTCTTTTTGAGCACCCATTTGCATCCTATGGCTTTCCTATTTTCTGGTAGATCACATAACTCCCATACCTTATTCTTTTCTATGGAATCAAGTTCTTCTCTCATAGATTCTAGCCATGAAGCTGATTCATGCGATTTCATCGCATCAGAAAAAGTTAAGGGATCTTGTTCTTCTATATTTGTATCTACCGAAAAACAGGATGACTCACATGAATACAAATAGTAATCATCCATCCATGAAGGTTGTGTTCTTGGTCTTTTGTTGCCTACAACCGGTTGATTAGGTACATTATTTTCCATAGGTATTTCATCATTTTCAAGGTTAGGTTCATTCACAATATCAGGGTCATTAGTGGGAACAACACTGTAATAATCATCATCTATTACAGTTAGAGGTTCTGTTTCCTCTTGAACTTGTTCCTCTTCCTCTAGATTCTCTAGAAATGTAGCATCTCTGCTTTCAATGACACCTTTTTCTTTATTGTAGAACTTATAACCTTTTGACTTTTCTGAATACCCTATGAATCTACACTTTATTGTTTTAAAATCCAACTTATCTCTAAGTTGACATGGAATGAGAACATGGGCTATAGATCCCCACTTCCTGAGATGACTCAAATTAGGTTTCCTCCCATTCCATAATTCATAAGGTGTAGATATAACTGATTTGGTGGGAATTCTATTTAAAATGTAGTTTGCAGTTAACAATGCTTCTCCCCAAAAGTTTTTAGAGAGACCAGAATGAGACAACATGCATCTAACTACATTTAATAATGTTCTGTTTTTTCTTTCAGCAACACCATTCTGTTGTGGCGTATACGGCATTGTTGTATGCCTTTTAATTCCATGCTGAATACAATAACTTTCAAATTCTTTAGAATTATATTCTCCACCTCTATCAGTTCTCAGAATTTTGATTTTCAATCCAAGTTGATTTTCAACTTCTGTCTTATATCTCTTAAAGCAGTCAAAAGCTTCTAATTTTCTGGATATAAGATAGACGTGTGCAAACTTGGAATAATCATCTATAAAAGTAATAAAATATTCTTTATTACTATGAGTTTTGACACTTAGGGGACCACAAATATCCGAGTGTATCAACCCTAAAAGTTCATTGGCTCTATGTCCGCCAACAAAAGGTTTTCTAGTCATTTTACCAGTTAAACAATGTTCACATGGTGGCAATTGAACATTAGATAGTGCAGGAAGCAAGTTCATTCTGATAATTTCTTTCATTTTTGAAATACTAGCATGTCCTAGTCTAAAATGCCACAATTCAGATTCAAATATCCGAGTGTATCAACCCTAAAAATTCAAAATTTTATTATCAGAATTATTACAAACTACTGGAAGAATGCATAATTCATGCTCGGGCACATATTTTCCCATAGCATACACTTTATTATTCTTGCCTATAGAAACCCTGTTATTATAGAACCTAACTTCCAGTCCTTTCTTCATCAAGCTAGGAACAGAGATCAGATTGCGCCGAATTCCTGGCGCATAGAACACATCTTTAAGGATAAGAATACTGTCCCCAAGATCCAATCTATACGAACCAATACCTTCTACATCGAGATAGGTATTATTTCCCATATAGATTCTCTGTTCTCCTTTCTTCAGCTCGGTGAATTCTACGACTCCATTCTTGTCCTTTGCGATATGCCTAGTCGCACCGGAGTCGATCCACCAACCACTGATATCCGTCATCACAGCATTACATTCCGTCACACCGACGAATTCTCTTTTGCTAGTACCCCCTTGTTCTGGATGCTTATAGCCTCCTTTATTCTCCTGCTTTTCACCTTGTGGGCAATTGGGTTTGAAATGCCCAAACTTTCCACAATTGTAGCAGGCTCCGCGGGGTACTTTCTTTCTCTTGAACTGCTGCGATTTCGATCCCCGTGGTTGTGGTTTACTAGAACTAGGGTTTTTATAGCTTCCAGCATTATGCCTCTGGCGGACATAATTCAGCTCTTGCTGTACCATATTCAGTTCTGGTTCCTTCCTACTGGCTATTAAGTCCTGTTCTATCGCTAGGTGCATAGGAAGATCAGTGACAGACTTAATGGCAGGGTTTATTCTTAATGTGGTGGCAGCCACAGCAAGTGAAGGGGGAAGACTATTCAAAATGGTTGCCACTTGCATTCTTTCCGGGATTTCGGTCCCAGCAGTGGATAAGTCCTTAGCCATGACAATCATTTTATTTATATGCTCTACGACATTGTCTCCCTTTTGCATACGACAAGAATTATACTTATGCAAGAGTAGTTGGATGTTAACTTCAGAAGCAGTGTCGTATTTTTCTTTTATTGCATTCCACATATCCATGGAAGTTTTATAAGTTTTAAAAACTTTGATTAAATTATCTTCCATGAACATAAGCATAAGACTTTTCGCCTTTTTGTCTTTCGATTTCCACTGCTCAAACTCTTTCTTTTCTTCAGGTGTTGATTTATCAGTAAGGGTTGGAGCAGTGGTTTCGATTATATCATTAATGTTGTCATGAATAAGAGCATATCCTATTTTTTCTATGCCACATATCATAATTATTGCCATTAAATTTGTCAATTTTCCCTAATTCTGATAGAACGAGTTTACTAGCCATTCGGTAAAGAACTAAAACTAAATTCAATTTAAATATTTGTATAAGGTTGATATTTTGACAATAATACTAAATAATAATAAAAAAATGAATTAAATAAAAATGAACCTGATTGTTCCGAGTTGATGAAAGAGACTCCAATTTTAGCGAGATTATCACTCAGCGGAGTTGATTGGATCAGCACTTGTCGAAGTTTTGTCATCGTTTCTGACCGAATTTGTGGATGATCTGTTGTTGTCGTTGGATTCCACTGGATCAAGACAACTACCTTTTTTTTTATGGTATGGAAATGGCTCTGCTTATCAAAAAGGAATTGAGGGGCTGCAAATGAATGTAGGAAAGTGGGCCTGTTGCTGTCGTTTCTCAAGTGGTATATATTAATGTGGGCTTTGAAAATAAAGTAGTTTGGTTGCTTTGTAATTGGGCCTCAGTTTGGTTTAAAACAGATGGGCTTGGTGGCTTTGTTGAAGATGGGGTTTGGCTTTGATTCAACAAAACAAAAGATTGACAGGCTTTAGTGAAAGTGGGCCCGACAGGTTTTGATTTCAAAACGAAACAGAAGTGGAAAACTTGATCTGGGTGACAAATGATCAGACCTGATACAGCTAGGGTTTTTTTTTAACCTCAAAAGGGCAAGAGGCGTCTGACTTTTTCTCTCTATTCTTCTCCAAAAAATCTGGATCTCGAGCTTCGACCGATGGCCTCCGATCTCCTTCAGTCGTCGACGTCGCAGCAGGCTTGTCGTCTTCGTCGTGGTCGTCGATTTCAGCGGAGTCGTCGTCGTGGTCGTCGATTGCAGCGGAGTCGAAGGTCGTCAAAGGTGATTGATGCAGAGCTCGAGATGGCCGATCGATGCAGTGGCTCTGATACCAGTGATCGAAACCGAAGAAGAAGAACAGATTTTTGAGGGGCTCCGGTAATGGGTAAGGGTTTGATTTTGTTTCTGTGTTGTTGTGTATTTCTCAAGGAGATTACTCCTCTTTATATAGGAGCCAGAACCCATTATCTCCACCCCCCATAACTGCTCCTGAGAGAATTTCTCTCAACAAACCCAATTTTTCTTCACGTTCTTCTCAAACGAACGTTGATTTGGTCATCTTAGACCAGGTCAAGCTAACAAGTGGGAAGGTGGGGTTAATAAGATAATTATTTATTAATGGTTACTTTAAATAACAGCCGAGCAAACAGGAGGGCTAATCAGCAAATTAAGATTATTTGTGAGACTAACATTAAAATATGAAACCTTAATCCGTGAAAAGAAAATATCCTGATAAACATTGTACGGCGTACCCTTTTAACCGAAAGCGGCGCTCGACCCCGTTCGGTGCTCGCAATAATGCCTGACTTCTTCGCCTCGCCAGTCACACTCGTCCACGTGTCCACCTCATCAACCCGCCGGATCATCATACCATATTCTACCCACCTGTATCCCTACGTATTTCTCCCGGTGCCCTGCACGTGCTCTTCTTCTCACGTGGCACCCCCGAAAGAAAAATTCCCGCTCCACACTGTTCTCGTCGTCGTCGAGCTGAAAGACGTCCACACACTCTCTCTCTCTGTTCGTAGCTGATTTGAAGTTCATTTCCTTGCGCGCAAGACTTTATCTTTATTCCTCCGGGGGGGTGAAAAAAATTATCTCGCAAGATGTCTCTTTTTGAGGTGAGCAAAACGCCTGTAAGAAAAAAAAAAAAAAAACTCCCTCTTTCTTCTTCAATTTCCTAAATTGTAATCAATTTGCAGGACCTCGATCTCGATTTAGACGCGACCCCCTTCCTCTCTCGCCTATCGGCGTCCATGTCGGCGGAATCCTGCTCCGGAGACGTCGCCGACGAAGTGCCGTGACGACGCGCGGCGTACGCGGATGAAGACGGCGCGCGGTCGTCGCGAATCCGTTGATGCGGCGCGCAGTGATCGGCGTCGCGATCCCGCCTCGCGGAAAGTAAGCGGCGGTTGCTCCGCGCCCGACGGCGGCCGTTTCGTTCTGCAGCGAAGTGCGTTCGCCGCCGGCGTGATTCTCGCTACTGGGTTCGTTCATGATGTTGGTGATGCTCAATCGGCGCTGACGGACCCCTGTTTGTCGAACAGAATCCGTGGAAGACGTTTCCTTTCTCGGTTTGGTGCGATGTTGGCGGCGTTGCTGACGCTGGTGGTTGATTTCGTGGGACGCAGTTTTATGAGAGGAAGCATAATGAGGAGGAGGCTGGGGTGAGGAGGATGCGGCGGCGGTGGCGACGGCGGGGGTAGCGGAGGAGGAGAGGATCATGGTGGTGCCGGTGATGATGACGTGGGCCATGGGAATGATGATGGGTGTGGGAAGATGCATGTTGTTGGGATGCATGCGCATGGACACGGGCATGAGCATGAGCATGGGGATGTGGGTGTGGAGGTGGATGATGGGCACGTGTCCTCACACGTGCGACATGTTGTTGTGTCACAGGTACCATCGACCTCTTTGTAGACTTATAGTTGCAAATTTATGATCTTCTTTTATATGTATGTGCCTAGTTTGGTTACTCTTGGGATTGAACTTGTTTGCTGATTATAAGCTAAATGGACTATAAGCCATTATTTTCGGTAAATTTAGTAGGTTGTCGTTCATTTTCAATAGATGTTTGGTAAATTGGTAGCTTATAAGCCGTCATCATTGTCAAAATGACTAAACATTTGACGGGGCTGAAGAGAGATAAATGGGGCTTGAAATTTTTGAAACGATGTGAAGGTATATTGGTCTTTTATGTGGTTAAATATTGTGACTTATAAGCCATTAAAAAATATAAACTTGCCAGTAACATGTGGTTGTGGAAATTTTAAGCATCCTTTCGAGAACTTCAATTGATTTGAGAAAAATTATTTTGTTAATCGTGCTTTTTGAATGAATATAGAACATAGAGAAGATATGCATGGTGGTGTACAAATTTTGTTATCATTTTAGGTGGAATATGCTTGCATACAAGGAATGGAAAGCCCCAAGTAACTAATGTTGTGTGTATTGAATATAATTGCTTATGGTGCAAGGTTGGATGGAAAAAGTACAATTATTAAAGTCCTTAGGATCCTTCTTTGTCAAGCATCACTTTTGTCAAACGATACCTTGCGTGATTAACTGAAGCTACAGTTTGCAATGGTCTAAGGCTATAAGCTCAGAATATATAAGATGTCATCCCAACACTTGGATTGAATAACTTTGTATTTATTCTGTTTAAACTTACTCTTTCTTGCAATTACACTCTAGTGTTATGTGATCTCTATATAGCCCTTTAATTAATATAGAAAGTATTAAATATCTTTATTATACACTGCTACAAAAGAATGGGGTTTTTTTATTTTAAGTATGGATTACTTCATGATGTTCCCTAATGAAGGCTAAGATCTTATTTTAAACCCCCAACATGTGCTTGCTTTGCTGCTGACAATTATAACACGCATTCATCTTTCAATAAGATGATTACTTTATTTTAGTTTGAACTTTCTGGGTAGGTAATTGTTAGATCTTATAAAAACTTGAGATCTAAACCATAAAGCCATGATTAATTCAAAGAGATTTACAAGAATCAAAAGAAAAGAGCGTAAACCTATACCTGAATTCATAGATTAAACTTGAGATAGGTTTTGGATCTTCTAACCTTAGGGTTTCTCTAGCCAAATTTTTCTCTAGATGAGGGTGAATAGAATTAGAGAATGTAACCCTAGATTAGGGACCATAACCCCTTATTTATAGATGTTGTACATTTATAATTTGGCCCCTCATCAAATCATAATTACAACATGATATCTGCACATATAACCCCATGATTATATTTAAATACCCATTAACCCAAATTGATTGATCACTTTAGTGGGTTATCCTGAAGGATAGCAATACACACAGATTAATCATATGTGTCCACAAATAGATTTAATTAGATTTAAATCCAACAATCTCCCACTTGGGCACCATATGATTCCTTAAATTGTGTATAACCTTATGAGCTCAAAATTGCTATTACTGAAAAGGTATTTCCGAACAATCTCGTCCATTGACTATATCAATATAGGATCAAAGCGGCCTTCGTCATATTTATCGTGACTCGACCCATCAATGGTCACATATACCAATACAATCAAACGACATAGATCAATCATGGATATGCAGCATAAAAATTACATGCAATGTGATCAGTACATGTTTATTTTCAACTGGTCCTACTTTAGTGATGTCAATACCAAACATAATGTAACAGAGTGTCTTAACTGAATACTTTATTCCGATCAGACAATATAACAAACACAAAGCACCATAAATACAAACTCCCACTAAATCATGATATCCTCAAATAACACCACACCCATATGAGCAGTGTGCTCATGAAAGACCTTGGGTGGCAATCCCTTAGTAAGAGGATCAGCTATCATGGAGTTTATCCCAATGTGCTCTATGGATATCTGTCCACTCTATACCCTTTCTTTCACAACCAGAAACTTAATGTCAATATGTTTTGACTTAGTTAAGCTCCTATTGTTATTGGAATATATTACTGCAGATTTATTGTCATAATATAACCTTAGTGGTCTTTTCATATTTTTCAAAATGCGCAGTCCCGTGACAAAGTTTCGCAGCCATATTCCCTGATTGGATGCATCATAGCAAGCTACAAATTTTGCTGCCATAGTGGAGGAAGCTACAAGTGTTTGTTTGATACTTTTCCATGATATAGCTCCTCCTGCTAACATATAAATATAGCCTGATGTAGACTTTCTGCTATCTTGGCATCCAGCAAAATCAGAATCAAAGTACCCAATGACCTCCAGTTATTCTAATTTTCTGTATGTGAGCATATAATCTTTTGTTTTCTGAAGATACCTCATAACCCTTCTGACTGCTGTCCAATGATCCATACCAGGGTTGCTTAAGTATCTGCCTAACATCCCAACAATGTACGCAATATCCGGACGCGTACATACCTGAGTATACATTAGACTTCCTACAGTCGAAGCATAAGGAATCTTCTGCATTTCCTAAATTTTAAGGTTACCTTTAGGGCACTGATTGAGACTAAATTTGTCTTCTTTAGCCACAGGGGTGTCTCCTGATCTACAGTCTTGCATGCCAAACCTTTTAAGTACCTTATCGATATAGATCTTTTGTGATAATCCAAGAATACCCCGAGAGCGATCTCGATGTATCTGGATTCCTAATATAAAAGAGTCGTCCCCAAGAACTTTCATCTCAAAATTCTTTGATAGAAATCTCTTGGTTTCGTGCAGCATGCCTATATCATTAGTGGCAAGCAATATGTCATCGACATACAGAACCATAAAGATATACTTACTCCCACTGAACTTGTGATATACACAGCCATCAACAATGTTCATCTCAAAATCGAACGGGATAATTATTTGTTGAAACTTATGATACCATTGACGCGGAGCTTGCTTGAGTCCATAGATGGATTTTCTTAATTTGCAGATCATATTCTTTGGGTCTCCTGACACAAACTTTTCTGTGCACCATATAAATCATCTCATCAATGTCTCCATTAAGAAATACAGTCTTAACATCCATTTGATGTAACTCAAGATCATAATGAGCAACAAGTGTCATGATTGTTCTGAAAGAGTCTTTCGATGAAACCGGAGAGAAAGTCCATGTATAATCAATGCCTTCCTTTTGAGTATAGCCTTTAGCCATAAGACGTGCCCTATACCTCTCCACATTACCACTTGCGTCCCGCTTGGTTTTAAAATTCCATTTACAACTAATTAGTTTTGTACCTTCTGGCAATGGGACAAGTTCCCAAACCTTATTGTCTTGCATAGACTTGTACTCTTCATTCATGGCATCAATCCACTGCTGAGAGTTAGAACTTTTCATGGCCTGAGAGAAGTTGATTGGATCATCTTCTAACATTCCACTACTTTCCTCATGTTCTTGAAGAAATACAATATAATCATCCGAAATAGCATTTCTCCTTTCTCTCGTGGATCTCCTTAATGGCACTGGTTCTTGAGGTTGTTGAGTTTGTTCTTCTGGAACAGGGAGTTGTTCAACATTATCATCTTGAGGTTCCGGATTTACTTCTTGAGCAACAACAGGTATAGGAACCTGAATATTGTCAAAAGTAACTGTATGGATTGGATCTGAAGCCAATTCCTCCTCAAAACTAATGTCTCTAACCTTATTTCTCCCCCCAAACTCAACTTAACATCCTCAAAGAATGTTGTTATTCCCGTCTTAAAAATATTCCTTAGTGTGGGATCATAAAACTTATAGCCCCTAGAGCGTTCAGAGTACCCAATAAAGTAGCTGCTAACTGTTTTGGAGTCCAATTTCTTTTCATTTGGCCTGTAAGGCCTTGCCTCAGCTGGACATCCCCAAATATGTAAGTACTTTAAACTGAGATTTCGACTAGTTCAAAGCTCATAAGATGTTTTAGCAACTGCTTTACTTGGTACTCTATTCAGAATGTAAGCTGCTGTCTTAAGTGCTTCTCCCCAGAGAGACTCTGGTAAAGAAGAAAGAGCAATCATACTTCTTACCATATTCTTAAGAGTCCTGTTTCGTCTTTCAGCTATACCATTCATGCTAGGTGAACCCGGCATGGTGTACTGTGGGACGATACCATATTCCTCTAGGTATCTAGCAAATGGTCATGGACGTTGTTCACCTGAACCATCATATCTACCGTAGTACTCACCACCATAATCAGATCTAACGGTTTTAATTCTTCTGTTGAGTTGATTCTCAACTTCAGCTTTATAGGCTTTGAACATATCCAGAGACTCAGATTTTTTATGAATAAGATATAGGTACCCATAACGTGAGTAATCATCTATGAATGATATAAAATATTGTTGATCATTCCAGGATTCCGTAGGGAATGACCCACAAATATTCGTATGTATCAATTCTAAGACATCCGAAGATCTGTTGGCACCTAATCTCTTAACTTTGGTCTGTTTTCCCTTGATATATTCAACACATACGTCGAAATCCGAAAAATCAAGGGAATCCAAAATGTCATCAGACACAAGACGCTCAACTCTACCTTTTGAGATATGAACCAAGCGCTTATGCCATAATGTCTCTGAATTTTCCTTATTTAATTTATGCTTAGTACCACGTGATTCCATATGTAAGGATTCATTATAAGAAGCAATTGTATCAAGCAAATATAGGTTGTCATAAGTACTCAAGTATCCGGTTCCCACAACATTTGAATTAAAAGATAAACTGAATTGTCTGTTTCCAAATGAACAAGAATAACCTGATTTGTCCAATACAGAAATAGAAATTAAATTCTGTTTAAAAGACGGTACTACAAAAGTATCTTTTAAATCCAAATAAGAACCAGTTCCTAACAACAACCTAAAGTGCCCAATTGCTTCCACATCTACCGATTGTTCGTCGCCCACAAAGATGTGTCTTTTAACATCACTTGGCTTTCGGTAGCTCAGGCA